TTATAAATTATACTTCAAATCTAAAAGGATATTTCACAAAGACTGCAACTTTATATAAGATATCTATTTAACTTTATAAGATATATTGAAATTGAATAAATATAAAGACGGCTAGCCAAAGGAGCATGGCATTACCTGAAAAAAAAACTGAAAATGAATCATGAGTTTCTCATCATTTAGCTGTAATTTTGAGAAGACAAAGTCAGCTTTAAATACTCAAGTGGAAGATCAAATTATTCTACTGCAGAACTGTCTGAAAAGTTTTACTTTATAGGCCTAACTGTAGAGTGACTGAACTGACAGTGAAGCTGTAGAAATCAGCTCTCTTTAGTTGGAGGTCGAATTAGTGTACGATGCAGAACTTCGAAGATGTGAAAGTTGGAGACGTACGATATCCTCAAAATGTGTTGCTTTAACTAGAACGTTTCCGCTTTCACATTTCAAACACGTGAACCTTCAATTAAGGTGAGTCCTGGGGTTAAGATTAAAGGAGTGCAACAGAAAAATTCCATTATAAAATGGATCGTTAAAATACATGTAATGTATGCTGAGCGTAATAGTTGTCTCAGATGTATGAATAAAAGAAGACCTGTGTTTTTTTGTTTGGGGGAGGGGGTGGGCAAGTTAGGCATGTAAAAAGTCTATGCATTAACCATATATGTACCCCCATAAGGGTCCCCTGCCCATAAATCTGCCTCTGTATCTGAACTCCAAAAGTAAAGACCATAATGTATCAGCACCAAATGTCCTAAATGACTTGAAGGACAAAGAAACATTAAGATACAACTAAAGACAACCATTGAAGAGGTTACTGACTGAGGACAGGCACATGAATATGTGGAAGGTGAAATAAGTTTTTTGAGCACTTTATTATCTCCATTATAATTTTAATTATTGGAATTGGATTAACAAAAGGTAGATATGTAACAAAAAATTTGTGCCAGCATGATATTTGTTCCAGTGGAACAAATTTCATAGGAAATATGTTCCACTGGAATTTATATCACAGAAGATATGTTCCAGCACTGTACAATTTGTTCCAGAACTAATTTTTTCACCAAATGTGAAATAAGTTCCGGAACAAAAGTCACAGCTCCATGAATTTTGTTCCAATATCAAAAGTTTTAAAAAAATGAAATAAGTTCCTGTGGTGTAAGTTTTGAACGAACATGTTTCATAGAAATCAATGAATAAGTTCCACTCAAACCTATTTCTCAGAAAATAGATACCTTTGCAACATATTGGACAGCAAGACATTTTCTTGTTACACTTAAATTATAATGCAAGCTTGATGCTGTACTGTGCTTGCATGGGGTACATTCACAATTGAAGGCATGACTTTAACTATAGGATGAAGATAAGAAACTACAGCGATGGATAATATATAATAGATAATGCATCATAATGGTTTATTTATGATGTATGTGGTATTCCTTCTTGTTTTTTGTTAACTGTCATGGGTGTTCTAGTCATACATGTACTTAGGCCAGACAAAAGTTTCAAAAGAGTATGTTTTTTGTTTCTACATGTCTTTTAATAAAATTGATCAGTCACTTTGTCCATTTCAAATAAGTACAAATGTTCATCTTTAACTCAACTTTTTTTTAATGATTTTAATTATTCTACTTTTTTCTGGCTCTTAAGTGTCATTTTTGTATTTTTTTTGGAGTTTGTAATTTAAAAACATTTGCTATACTCCACAGGATCCAAATTGGATGTTTACACTTTTTATTTATTACATTATCAATATAATACATGTATTTATAAAGTACTTGAATGATAACTTTAAACTCACTGACGACAAATGCTCAGTATAATATAAGATAACTTGTTTAGCCAGTGGAACATATTTCACAGACAAGGAACTTATTTCACCAGGTGAGGAACAAATCTCACAAACCCAGAACTTATTTCACCAGGTAAGGAACAAATCTCATAAACCCAGAACTTATTTCACTAGGTAAGGAACAAATGTCACCAACCCAGAACTTATATTACCAGGTAAAGTGTGGAACTTATTTTATAGAGATGGAACAAATTATATAGAAATTATCTGTGAAAAAAGTTCTCCCAGAACATATTTTCTGTGATATTAGTTCCACTGGAACTTTTTTCACAGGAACAAATTTTGGCTCACAGATACATGTAGAATATATATAACTTAATCAGTTCAGATAAAGGCAATTATAATAGTATAATGGACAACAACATAATCAGGGAATAAGACTTAACATTTTCTAAATAGGGGCCCAACCTGTCACAATATGGAAATTAAGATAAGCACTGTGGTCATTTTCAAAAAAGTTTAAGGGGCCCAACCCAAATTTCAGTAGCATGGGCTACTGGGCCCCTGCTTATCTTTTCCCCTGAATAATGGGTACGATACTCAATAAGAATGCTTGTAGGCAATTACTGAAAGCAAGCTCAAAGTATGTGTAAACTACAGATGTACATTTTTTATTTAGGGGCCAGCTGAAGCCTGCCTTCGGTAGTAGGTTTTTCTCGCTGCATTGAGGAGCCATTGGTAGTCTTGGGCTGTTTTCTGCTATTGGTTATGTTGTTGTCTCTTTGACCATGTTGACACATTCCCAATTTCCATTCTCAATTCTATGTAGATATTGCCTACCATGGCAAGACATTTTAAAGGCAACTAAAGGTTTGCCCCTTGGGATCTGAATGCTCCCTCCTATAATAAATCATTAAATATCCCCAAAACAATGGTTCAAATCCCCACCCCTTAACCATATTAATTCTTAATCATCATGACAAGACCTTACATGTATATCTTTGCTTGTTAAATGTATGAAAAACTGTTCAGATCATCACCCCTACCATATATATTCTAAACTTCCAAGACAAGACCTTTTAGGACTTAAAAGTGCACTATAGAGTTTCTCACTCATACATGTATCATAACCTATTAAATATATTGACAGCAGTTAAGATTTTTACCCCATTAACCATGTATATTTGTTATTTTTTGCCATGACAGTTCCTTTTCAGTAATTGAATGGGTTGGATTTTTCCTTTACTGGAGTGACTTCTAAACATGAATGCACATTAAAATTGTTCCACCTAGTTTCTTATTATCTTGTTCGATGTATAAGTTTATATTCCCCAAAATTTCTATACATAACAAATGAAACATTCTATTGTTTATATATATATATAGCTAAAACAGCAAAAGGAATTTTCTTTGTAAAATTGAGAACATGAACATTTTTACCTAGGAAAATATATCCGGCCTTTTTTTAACTGACATAACTGACTAGTAAAATGTGTAACCTTGACTAGTAAAATGTGTAACCTTTTTATATGACCGCAAAAAATTTTGCGGTCGTATATTGGTATCAAGTTGTTGTCAGTGTCGTCCGAAGACATTTGGTTTCCGGACAATAACTTTAGTAAATGTAAATAGAAATCCATGAAATTTAAACAAAAAGGTTTATAACCACAAAAGGAAGGTTGGGATTGATTTTGGGGGTTATAGTCCTAACAGTTTAGGAATAAAGGGCCAAAAAGGGGCCCAAATAAGCATTTTTCTAGTTTCCAGACAATAACTTATGGAACGGTGTATGGATCTCTCTGAAATTATTATGAGTTTCGAACAGTGGTATACTACTGTTGCCTTTATTTATATACCACAAGTTTCCATACCTCAAAAAAAATGGGGGGGGGAGACGCAACAGCATAGTGTATTGCACAAAAGCAAAAAATTGAATATAAATTCAAATATAACCAATTCTAAGTTCTTTGACTACAGTTATTCTGTGTCAGAAACCTATTATGTGTCAAATATTTAATTACAATCCAAATTCAGACATGTATCAAGCGCGAATATTGTGTGCATTTTTGCCCCAACTGTTCAGGGTTGGACCTCTGCGGTCGTATCCAGCTGCAAACAGCGAAGCAATTTATTCTTATTATAATAGCTGTTTACCCAGACTGTATTTCCAGAACTTATTTATCCCTTACAATAAAATCAGAAGGTAACATTACATGGATCATTGTATCTTAAGTCAGTAAATGTTCATGAAACTTTCATCAATTTTTCAGAATGTGTGAAGACTTTCATAAAGACCACATAAGCCATGACAAGAAATGGATGTACTCAACAGATCACATGATGGCATGTGTTGCATGTATTGTACAGACAATAGAAGATCCTCAGATATCACATCTGAGGAAGACTCCAGCCATAGCTTTATTGACAAAGCTGGTCCAGATACCAACTGTACTTCAAGATTTAAAGTCTGATCAAGATGTAACCTATCACATCATTCATGTTATTTTAGGTAAAAAAACAAAGTGACTAAAATGTAAATTATTATAACTTATATATAAGGATTTCCTTATAAAAACAAGTCTTTAAACTTCGATTCACATTGACTATAAATTTTTAAATAATATGTAGAATGTGTACAAAAGAGATGAATTGACATTTTAATAAAAAAAACTTATACAAAAAAACCAAACATACAGATCAAAGTAGATTTTATATTATAATACATGCATTCAGCATTTTGTATGATTTATGATTTCTTGTATCAACAGATCTGATGGACAGTGGAGATAATTTTTGTGCCATAATTTTGTGTTTCACCAATATTTAAGTTTATTTCTCATATTTTATAACTGATGAAAAAGTGTTTTTCTCTGAGGGAATTTAACTGTTTACCAGTTTTCTTGTTTCATATTAGGGCTATATGTGGTGTTTAGTTAAGAAAAAAATTGCAGTCTTATCATAAACATCACGTACCATTGTAGTAAAAACGGTGAAAAAAATCACATAAAAGTTTGAATCTTATCCCATATTTTGTACCATTAATAAATTTAAAGATAACTTCAGGTAAAAAAAACCTAGTGGCTTTGGTTTTAAAAAGCTCTTGAGAGCAAATTAAGATGATAAAATTGTGTTTTGGTTTTGAGCCTACTTGATAATGGTAAATCTAGAAAAGTACCATGGAAGCACCAAATTTTCAAAGTGTTTTTTTTTTTTCAGATACTTTGCTACAGACAGATGATACAACCTTTATTAGTTCTGCCTCAGATGGTAAGTACTGTTTGAAGTCAATTGTTGTTTTATGCCCTCGCTGTGGCAGAGGGGACATCAAGTATTACCCTTAACTGTATGTTCGTACTTCTAAACGTACATATGTACATCCCAAAATTAGTTTCCATTCTATAACTTGAGTTTGCCTCAAACAAATGTTATGAAACTTATACACAATGCTTATTACCACAAACACAAATTAAGATTGAATTTGGGTGGTGTCAATTTTACTGTTCTGGAGTTATGCCCCTTTATATATATGGAAAAATCGTTGAATTTTTCGTTTCAGTTCTCTAACTTTAGTTTGCCTCAAAACCAAATGTTATGAAACTTATACACAGACACAGTACTTATTACCATAAAACACAGATCAAGTTCTAATTTTGGTGGCGTCACTTTTACAGTTCTCTAGTTATGTCCTTTTATAACGTTATATGCAAGCAGGGGCATCATCTGTGTCCCATGGACACATTCCCTTATTTATTTTTTAAATGCCTCTTGCAATGAATTTGCACTATATTTTTATCGATCAAAGAATCAAGGGTGCTTAGAGGAAAAGTACTCAATGCAAAAATAGTTGAATGTCTAAACTGCCATATAGTCTTTGGTAGTCAGTAAGCTATATTGAACAGGCCTTGCCATTGCTTCATTATAAATAGAGTGAAAATTTGGATAATTGTTGTTCAGTTTGATTGCCAATGTTCCTCCTAGTTTTAAATTTGAGTTGGTGTAGGCTGTAGGGTCATGTAAACTAGTGAATTGTATATCCTGGAGTGGATGTAAGCATCCAGACATGAATTGGTGACTGATCAATATTTTCCAGTTTTTATACACCCGTTTACAGGACGTATTATGGTATATCGTTGTCCGTCTGTGTGTCCATCGTCAACATGTCGGACATTAACTCAAAAACGCTTTAACCAATTTGCATAAATCTTTGGTGAATTGTTTATATCTATTGACATGAGCTCCCTGTCGATTTTTATAAATTTTAGATTTTCGTTTCCTAGTTATGGGGTTTTTTATTCATTAAAAAAAGGAGGAATTTCCAGTTATCAGACAATAACTCAAGAATGCTTTCACCAACTTGCAAGAAATTGTGGTGAATTGTTTATATCTATTGACATGAGCTCCCTTTTGATTTTTATATATTTTAGATTTTACGTTTCCGAGTTACAGGGTTTTATTCATAAAAAAAGGGGGATTTTCCAGTTTTCTGACAAAAAATCAAAAATGCTTTCAGCAGTTCTTATGAAACTTTGGTGAATTGTTTATATCTATTGATGTAAGCTCTGTTTAGAATTTTATAAATTTTTCATTTATCATTTCTGAGTTATGGGGTTTATTCATTAAAAAAGGGGGGATTTTCGAGTTTTCGGACAATAACTTCAGCAGTTCTTATGAAACTTTAGTGAATTGTTTATATCTATTCATGTAAGCTCCGTTTAGAATTTTATAAATCTTTCATTTATCATTTCTGAGTTATGGGTTTTTATTCATTAGAAAATGGGGGATTTTCCAGTTTTCGGACAATAGCTCAAAAATGCTGTCAGCAATTCTCATGAATCTTTGGTGAATTGTTTATATCTATTGATGTAAGCTCCCTTTACATTTCCATAAATTTCTAATATGACATTGAGAATTAATTGAACTTTATTTGTTTATAGTCTGACAACAGATTTACTAAGTATTGCGCAACAGCACAGTGTATTGCACAACAGCAAGAAATCTTAAATTGAATATAAATTTAATTCATATAACCAATTTCAAGTTCTTTGACTACATTTATTCAGAAACCTATAATATGTCAAATATTTAATTACAATCCAAATTCAGACCTGTATCAAGCTTGAATATTGTGTCCATTTTTGCCCCAACTGTTCAGGGTTGGACCTCTGCAGGCATATCCAGCTGCGCTCAGCGAAGCAGTTTATTTCACTTAGGTCTAGTTTTATATCTCAGTCACAACACATAATGGGACCAAGTAAACTTAAGTATGGATGTACCTGAAGTGTAGATCAACAATTACACAAAATTAAGTTACTGTTTTGTATCAAAGCTCACATCTTGTGTTTACTATACATTGTAGGATAATGTAAGTTTAAAAGGTTACTGTAGCTTTATTTTTTGCTTCACAATGACTATTATTACAATTTATGCATGACTTTAAATCTCACTAGCAGTATTATGTAAATTGGTATTTGGATGCATCCTGGAGTTTATGTCAGCATCCAGCTAAAAAGAGTTCAAATGACCAACAATTTTCACTTTTGCTTTACAGCTTGCTTAAAACTTGTTCAAAGTTGTGATTCTGAAGACATCATTGACTTCATACTCCAAGATATTGAGAACAAGGTCAGTGTAACTTCTCTTATACTAAAATTATCATTTGACATTAATTTGGAAATAGAATACAAAGGCAATTAAAAACTATAAAATAAATATCTTTTTATGGTTTTAACTCACTCAATCATCAATTATTATTGCTGACTTAATTTTGCTTATGGTTTCTACCAATTAGTTAATAGTTTTATCATTGGCAGGACCAATATTTTTAAATTTCTTCCTTTTTTTCAGATGGAAATGATAAATAGTCACAAGGAATTGTTGCCTTTATATCTTCTGTTGGGAAGACTAATTCAAAAGTTCTCTGAGCTGTCAGACAAGTTCTTACAACATTATGGTAAATTTTGATTTAAATTGTATTTTGTGAATCATATTTTTGGCCCCTTGATAGTCACTTGTGCCCTATAGTAACTAATCTGTCTGTCTGTCCACCAGCACTTTCATGTCAGATGAAAAGTCAAGATTGTGTCAACTTATTTCAATAATTTTTATGCACAGTGTTTATAAATAAAATAGGAAAATCCCTTTCAATATTTGTGAAAATTGGAAAAATTTTGAAGTAAAAACTTATTTTTTTTTTTAAATCTGATTTTAAGAAACAAATGTTTGGCCCCTTGATAGTCACTTGTGCCCTATGGAAACTAATTTGTCTGTCAGTCCACCAGCACTTTCATTTCAGATGAAAAGTCAAGATTGTGTCAACTAATTTCAATAATTTTTATGCAGTGTTTATAAATAAAATAGGAAGATCCCTTTCAATATTTGTGAAAATTGGAAAAAAATTTGAAGTAAAAACCTAGTTTTTGTTAAAATTCTGATTTTGAGAAATGTTTTTTTGTGGTAGGATTTCAATTAGAATTGATAATTTATTGACATTTCATGCCTTTGAAAGTGACCCACATTCTTGTATTTAAATATAGTGATTGATCTGTTGAGAATACATGTAAATTCAGGTATGACTGTATTGCTTACGCACAATGCAGGGAAACAAAATGAATACTTTCAAGTAAACTTTTACACAACAACAAAAATGGTATTTCATTATGGAATGGATTTGTCTGTGTCCTCTGTAGACACGAGAACTTTTTCTATGTGGTCAATCTTCTTCCCAATAAAAAAATATGTTTTTGTCATAGTATTATTGGTTTATGGTTTCTGGTCAAAAATATTTTACAGAGGACCAAACAGATGGAAAACAGTCATTGTGCACCTGTTGGTGTAGATATAAAAAAACAGAAGATATGGTTATTTATGACATTGAGACAACAACCTAACATTGCAAAATAAATTGATAGGTTGATTGTTGTGTGTTTAGTGTCCAGTGGCAAAATAAGTCATGCATGTTCAGGACGAGAACAAATTAACAATACATACAATAGGTAGGTCAAGTAATAGGAGTTAACTGGGATGAAGGGCAGCAATTTGGACTGCCACTGGAAAATGAGGGTATAAAAAAAAAAGACATCTTAAAGGTCAACATACTGTTTGCAACAGAATGATACTAAGTAAGTGTTCATACTACATATCAAGCTCAAAATCATCTCTAAAAGTTGTGAAAGAACATATCAGGCACATTTACATATGGAATGTTAAACTAGTTTTTCATTGTATTGTGCTCACCCCGCCCCGTTATTATCATAATCAGTAGGATAACAGAAGGTACTGAAAGAAATGCATGATTAAAATATTAGTTTAGAAAAATTGCTTAACTGAAAAAGTTCAGATGACAAAAACATACATGAACATGTTTCAAAAACTTGCAGTGGAAATATATTTGAGTAGTCTTTTAATTGATATATGCTAAATTTATTTGATGAATTATTTTTAAAATGTATATAGAAAGCTGTGTCAAATTGCCATAGAACAGTGAGAAGCTCATCAACCTGAGCATGAAACTGATGATTAATTCTCTTCATATCTGTTGATTTGAATTAGTACATCTACATGTGTGTGATCTTCACCAGACATAGGCAATAACCAAACTTTGATTGATATAGACAGAGAGAAGAGCTTAAGCTGCCATTCTGCTTCTCTCGTTAATCAAATTACTTCAGTGCAATGAACATCAAAGGAATGCATATTGACACACTTGTATTTTCTGATTAAGCTTATTATATTTATGAATGAAGATTAAGATAAGATTCAAGGAAGTAAGGTTATTAATTAATAAGTAGTATTACCTATATATATAGACAAGATAATGATCCTCTTTCCTTCACAAGAGGGGATGGGAGGGATAACAATTAAAAACTCATGTTTAATCCTGAAGTATAATGTTTCTAATAGCACATGCATAAAATTTGTTAGGGAAAAGGATTTAATTGCACACACATTCACAGGAATAAATGTACATTTAAGGTTAAAAAACCTTGACCAAATTTCTATGAATAAAAGAAGATCAATGTGATCTATAATCAGTAAACCTGATTTAACACTCTCTGAGACCCATGTTTAATTTAAATCTGTTTTTAATTTCTTTAAAAAAAAATTTTATCATCAAATTGTTTACTTGTAATTTGTCACATCAGGCAAAAAACAAACAAACAAAATATGTGTACATTGTATTTAAGATTCTTGACTGACCCTAATTTTGAGCTCCAACTCTGATGTTTTTATGAGGGTGCCTTGGTACCACAAATGTTTAAATGGATCAGCCTTTTATTAACAGTAAAGCTAATTTGCCCTGAGCCTAAAATAAAAACAAAACTATGCAATGCTATTATCCGTTAAATAGTTATTATATACATTAATTGTATTGTATAATATGCATGCGAATTTTGAAAAACTTTCAGTCAATTAGTTTGTCGTATCCTTTTATAAAACTGACCTTTTTAAAGGTGAATCTCTGCCTTTCTTATGCTAAGAACTGACAACATTTATTTTTGAGAAAAAGTACACATATTAAAAGAGATAGGACTGATTCAAATTTACAAGCCATTTACATGTTAAAAACCTAAAGAAGTTGAATGATTATTTTGCCTATCACTGGTAATAGATTACTATCACCCATCTCAATTTTCACTTCTGTCTTCGGTTTCACTTCTTTGTTTAAACTGTACATAATGAATCTTATATTCTTCTTAGATTATTAATTGGCACCCTCCCTCCTACTTTTCCAAAAACTCTTACACCTGCAAAATCCTGTTATTGTGATGTCAAAATGTTTTCTCTGTGTAAATTATAACAACATGGACACAAGCTATTATGATTATATGAAAATATTTATACTATTACATGTACTACTAATATATTACTAATATTTTTCTTTTCCTAATCATTGCACTCATTACAAGCATACCAATTAAGTAACATAAACAGACTTTATAATATAACACGGATTATTAATACATATAACAAACAATAATTATTCAATAATAATCATATTATCCACATAAATTATCATTACATGCATATCAATTAAGTAATAGGTACAGACAAATTGAGACAATACAATATAACTATGATAATTAATACATATATACAAACAGTAATTGTACAATAATTAACATGTTATTGCTATATATTATCATTACAATACATACCAATTAAGTAACAGATAACAAACAATAAGTATTCAATAATAAAGAGGGGAGAGTCAGTCTATTATAGTTTTAATTGTTAGAACTTAATAGTCCCAAATTATTCCTATAATCTATACAAATATCGGATTAGTAAAGGTTATTCATATATAGAGAAAGCACAGTACCTATATTTACTAATACATTAATTCTATTTATTAAGATAATGGCATATTCCAGTAAAATATCTTGAATTTACTTGTAGAACAGTTAATTACAAAGCTGTGTACAGGACTTTGTTGTCCTGAAGAAGATGTGCAGTCTGCAATTTTGTTCATAATGGTTTACATCTTTGAAGGTCGTTGGGAAGACTTTTTATCTCCTAGGCAACTAACACAACTGTGTGAAGATCTTGTGTGCATGCTTAACTCTGCCAAAACACAGATATTAATGATGAATTCTTTGGGTAAATATCAAAGTCTATCACACCATATCTGCAGTATTTTACAGGTGCTGCATTGTAAACAATTAATGGTGAGATACCAGATGTAAAATACCAAACCCAAAATAAACAAGTCTGCATTTTGTTTGACCAAATTTTTTCTAAATAAAAATAGATAAACAGCCGATATATCAGTTTCTTGTATCTATCTATAATTGACACTTGTTCAACATGTTCAAGAGAGGTATTTTCTTGATAATCTTAAAATAATACAGTGAATTGGTTGCATCATCACTTCCCTAAAAAAACACACTAACAAACAAAAAAACACACTAACAAACAAAAATATTAAAAAAACACACAAAAAAACAAAAAAACATTACTTAAAAAACGCCCAAACAAACAAAAAACAATATGAAAAAAAACCTGTTGGGTGTAAAGATTAACATTCTTTAAACTGGAAGTGATCAAAAATATAGATAGAAATTTATAACAAATTATGTTCTGAACTTTATTATTATGATACTCAATGCCATTTTCATTATCTTTATTAGAAAAATATATTACAAATTATGTCTTGAACTTCATTATTATGATATTCAATGCTTTTTTCATTAGTTCTATTATATTTTTAATGTTTTGGAATGAAAAAGAAGACCAATTTAGATTTTATTCACAAAAACTTTAACAATAAATCCAAATGAAAATAAAAAATGATAAAAACAAAAAGGGTTATGAAGAGATATCAGCTTACATCTTAAAAAAACCTTTAAAATGATTCAAACTGAATAGAGATTGTAAGATACTACAGGAAAAGATGGTTGGAGATCTGTTACTATCAGCCAACTAAAATTATTATAATTTATGTTAAACAAACTATTTCACAATTCAGTTAAATAGTTCATTATTGTATTACAAACATCAGACATTTTAAAACCTTAAGATGTTGCAAAGAGACAATAGAACAATTGTTTTTTATCAGTTGGTACTCAATCTGAAGTTAATTATAGGATTCCATTAATATTTACTTTTGATTATGTAATCGGAGGTGATATGGTATCAGAATCATCTTTTAGAAAGCCTTTATGTAAATATCTACAGATTTAATGCACTTAAAACTTCTTCTACAAGTAATAGACTGTTTTATTAAGTAATCATAACAACATTCTTCACTGATGGAGTTGATATTAACTTCTCTGTTGGGTGTAAAGATTAACATTCTTTAAACTGGAAGTGATCAGAAATATAGATAGAAATTTATTACAAATTATGTTCTGAACTTTATTATTATGATACTCAATGCTATTTTCATTATCTTTATTAGAAAAATATATTACAAATTATGTCTTGAACTTCATTATTATGATATTCAATGCTATTTGCATTAGTTCTATTTTCTTTTTAATGTTTTGGAATGAAAAGGAAGACCAATTTAGATTTTATTCACAAAATGATTTATATTTGACTAATATTGCAACTCCCTGAATACTAAGTAGATTTTATTAATTGTATTGCTGCTTTCATTAGACTTTATTGGATTTGATCCAATTAAATGTTTGTGCTTTTGACATGCCACATTCTTAAATATCAAGCATACCTGATGAAGTTTTGTAAAAACACATGTTGTGCATAGCTAAATAAACTCATCATAGATACCAGGATTGAATTATATCTAAATTATACATTTATATTACATTTTAAGTTTTTTATGCCCCTGCCGTAGCGGAGGGGGCATTAAGTTTTACCCTTGTCCGTCTGTACGTCCGTCTGTCTGTCCGTCCGTCCGTCTGTCCGTACATCCCAAAATTGGTTTCCGTTCTCTTAACTTTAGTTTGCCTCAACCAAATGTTATGAAACTTATACACAATGCTTATTACCACAAAACACAGATCAAGTTTGAATTTGGTGGCGTCGCTTTTACCGTTCTAGAGTTATGACCCTTTACAAATGGAAAAATTGCTAAATTTTTCGTTTCTGTTCTCAGACTTTAGTTTGCCTCAACCAAATGTTATGAAAATTATACACAATGCTTTTCATCACAAAACATATATCAAGTTTGAATTTTGGTGGCATAACTTTTACCGTTCAAGAGTTATGCCCCTTTACAAATGGAAAAATTGCTGGATTTTTTGTTTCAGTTCTCTGACTTAAGTTTGCCTCGACCAAATGTTATGAAACGTATACACAATGCTTATTACCACAAAACTCAGATCAAGGTAAAATTTGGGTAGTTTCACTTTTACAGTTCTTGAGTTATGTCCCTTTATAACATTATATGCAAGCGGGGGCATCATCTGTGTCCCATGGACACATTCCCCATTTATTGTTTTTTGTTTTAGTTGTTGCCATTTGAAAAATAAAAATACTGAAATAAAGTTAACATATTCTACTGGTAAGACCCTTATTACTTCATTGCACAAAATTTGTAATTTGAATGATTGTTTTTACTTACATCCAGTACTTTTTTGTTTATCAGTTCCCCTTTTAATTGCAATAAAAATCATATTTTCTGGAAACAGCGTGTTAATCCAGTTTTCATATGTAAACCTTTTTACATTTTTAAAAATCAAAAGAAAACAAAGTACTAATTTCTAAAGTGTCGAAAAACATACAAAATTTCTTATTATACGACTGCAAAAAAATTTTGCGGTCGTATATTGGTATGACGTTGGCATCGTCGTCGTCGTCGTCGTCGTCCAAAGACACATTGGTTTTCGCACTCTTACTTTAGTTTAAGTGAATAGATCTCTATGAAATTTTACCATAAGGTTCAATATCACAAAAGGAAGGTTGGGATTGATTTTGGGGGTTATGGTACCAACAGTTAAGGAATTAGGGGCCAAAAAGGGGCCAAAAATAAGCATTTTTGTAACTTCCAGACATAACTTGTGTGTTAGTGTATGGATCTCTCTGACATTGTACCACAAGGTTCCATATCACAAAGGGAATGTTTGGATTGATTTTGGGGGTAATTACCTCAAAATTTTAGGAATTAGGGGCCAAAAAAGGGGCAAAAGACCAGCATTTTTCTAGTTTCATGACAATAACTTGTGTGTAAGTCTATGGATCTTTCTGAAATTGTACTACAAGGTTCCATATCACAAAGGGAAAGCTGGAATTGACTTTGGGGGTAATGCCCAAAACGTTTAGGAATAAGGGGCCAAAAAGGGGCAAAAAATAAGCATTTTTCTAGTTTCCAGACAATAACTTGTGTTCAAGTGTATGGATCTCTCTGAAATTGTGCTGCAAGGTACCATACCACAAAGGAAAGGCTGGAATTGATTTTGGGGGTAATTGTCTCAAAATTTTAGGAATTAGGGGCCACAAAGGGGCAAAAAACAAGCATTTTTCTAGTTTCAGGACAATAACTTGTGTGTAAGTGTATGGATCTTTATGAAATTGTACTACAAGGTTCCATATCACAAAGGAAAAGCTGGGTTTGAGTTTGGGGGTAATTGCCCTAAATGTTTAGGAATTTGGGGCAAAAAAGGGGCCAAAAAAACAAGCATTTTTCTAGTTTCCAGACAATAACTTGTGTTCAAGTGTATGGATCTCTCTGGAATGGTACTGCAAGGTACCATACCACAAAGGGAAGGCTGGGATTGAGTTTGGGAGTGATGAATCATAAGGGGGTTCAAAAAATTGGGGGGGGGGGGGGTTTCCTTTTTTTTTCTTTAAAATTTTCCATTTTAAATTAGTTATTTCTGATTTATATATAAAAGCAAATAATAATGATATGGTGTGAATAGGTAAATTAAAATTTTTTAAGTTCTTAGACCACATTCATTCTGTGTCAGAAACCTATGCTGTGTCAAATATTTAATCACAATCCATATTCAGTGCTGTATCAAGCTTGAATGTTGTGTCCATACTTGCCCAACTGTTCAGGGTTCGACCTCTGCGGTCATATCAAGCTGCACCCAGCGGAGCATTTTATATATAATGTATCTAGAATAATATTACCTTACATTTAAATAAAATTATGTTGGTTTCATTTACTAGGTTTGCTTGCAAAATTACTGATGAGTGAGAGATGGACAAACTTTATAATGACCTTGACTGTCGATGGAACAACACTTCTGGCAGTACTGAAGAAGATGGTAGCTTGTACTATTGAAGTAGTACAACAACTGGCTATACAGATATTGTCATGCATAATACAAAAAGATAGTCAACAAGCTTACTCCTGCCATATTCTTCAGACAGATCTTCTAGGTACTACAAGGTCACATGGACCTATTCAATTTTATATTACATTATGAGGAAATATGGAAGGAAATTAGATAGAAATAACCAGAAAGATGTACTATTCATTTTAGTTCTTATATGACCATTATTTTTATAGAAAAATATAGAGAGATTGATTTTATTTGAAAGTCCCCAATGTAAGATATTCTTCCTCAGCACCACATAACCATTTGAAACCAGTCCTGGAAGAAACTTTTTTTAATGGGAAGTTATGTTGTTACTTTGGTTCTGCATGTCATTATGGGTAAATTGAGTACTTATTTTTTATGGACCCAATAAAAAACAAAAGTTTTTGACAACAAGCATCCAATATGAAACCATCAAGGGGTCCCCCAGCGTTAGTCTTTAGGTAAAATTATATGGAATAAATCTCATCACAACAATGAAATGTCAATAATATGTATGATTTATTAGATAGTGTTCCAATTACAAATATTGTTTCATTCTTAAAAGAAGTTAGAATATATTATAAAATATAAAAATGTTGTATAAATTTAAAATGATTTAATTTTTATCACGTTATCTTAGTGTTGAATTTTATTTGTAAATAAGCAATTTTGCTTTAGACTTGAGTTTAGTATATTGAAGGATCTTTTGTCTGATTTTAAAAATATACATTAGATTGTAAAAATATTTGAATAAGCTCTCGCCGCGATATAGCCTTTTTGCGCTAAGGCGGCGTAAAGCAAACTCCAATCAATCAAAACATTGAAATAGATGCATGTTTAATGCCGTTGACATTCAGGTGAAGAATACACGTTCATGTGATCCTCTTTATAAAATGAAAATCTTCTTTACAGACTTTGAAATTAGTGGTCAACAATCAATCAATCAATAAATATTTATAAATTGCATGTAATGGTTCTGTTCTTGAAATCTGCATCACAGGTACACTAACCTGCACTTTATTCATAACTTTCTAAAGTGCACTATATACAGTATGTACTTAAATAGCTCTCTGTGTTTATCACACATGTAATAAAGGAACAATTAACACAATGATGTTTTTGTACAGAATTTCTATTTGAGAAGCTAAATACCAGAAATACCCAGAATATTGAGTAAGAATTGGTTTTGTTTTTCGTTCTTTCTTCCAGCATATATATATAAAGGGAGATAACTACAACATTTTTTCAATGACTTCACAGTTGATTATACTTTTCACAATTTTAGTCAAAGCTCACCTGAACATTTACAAAATTCAATGGAACAATTGGTCTAGTATTGAATAGGATCATTTATATAAAAATTTTACAAAGCTCTGTTCGACAGTGAAAAAATAAAAAGGTATATGGGAAGACATTATCACTTTGCATCTTTTTTCTTGTACTGTAAACAAGAGCGGGAGGGAAGTGTTGATTTTTTTTTTAAATATACGATAGTTGTGCCAATTGCCCTCAACAAAATGCATAACATTAATTTTAATGTCTTATATCCAATTTAAAAGATGGTTTTCATTTGACTTTAGAATTGCCCCTGTCCACTAGTAGTGACTGCTGCAAGACTTTTTGTTGATATATCATTGACACATACCCCACATCACATTTTATTTAATTTATGTAATAAAATAGGAGAAAGTTATTTAATGAGTGGAGATAACTTGTTAAAAAATTTGTCAAATCCAGGGGGAGATAATTAAGCTAAAAATTAATATTCTCCAGGTTTTGAAATATTTTGTGAAAATTCATAGAATCAAGAATGAATAGCCACATTTTCAGTTCATTCAGAATACATTTTATTTATCCTCAAAAATTTAAAACAATTTAAAAAAGTTTATTGTAAATTCCTGGACAGTCATAGATTACCTCCATTCAGTTGTAACATTGTATAGCCAAGTGAAGTTTTCAGGGTTATGCGGTTTAAACCAAATAAGAGTATTGGGGTATCTTTATTGTGATTTTATGTTTAATGTCATCATACAGAATATTTTAGAAATAGAATTTTTTGGTTTTATCATTAAGTCTTTATGAGGGTTCCATAAGAATAGGGAAAAAATAATAAATGTGTATGCCTGGGTCTATTTATGTTAACACATTATCTGATTTGATAATTATCACCATAATTTTGATGTTTCATTTCCTTTTATATTTTTTGAAATTCTGTTGAATTTTTAGTTATTTTTGTTGGTGTATCTTTTATGTTTGTATTTATTTTATCTTAAAATTACTAATTATATGGTTAAAAAAGAATGGGAAAAATCTGTTATTTCAGTCTATTGTGATCAAATTCAATATAAAACCAATCGAAAATTTTGTGAAAATCAAAACATATTTCAGGATAAAAGAAGAAATTATTCACTTTATTTCTACATATAACTTTGATATAAGAATTAAAATTTGTTTAGTCATGATAATCAGTTTTATCGAAATTTTTGCAAATGGTTACATTGGTATATATGCATTATGCAAATTTTAATATTATTTTGCAATTTTCTTGTTATTATACCTGAATAAATTTCTTTAGTTTTCTTAAATCTTTAATTAGAATTACTATTTTTGTATTTTAGACATATTTTAGCATGTTTATAATTACTTTTTTTGTATTTTAGACATATTTTAGCATGTTTACAGCCACTAAGTCACATGGAGCAGTTCTATTCTAGAAATCATTCAGTATATGGTGAGTAGTTCAAGGTTATTGACTTTATTATTATTTTTTTTGTGTCTGTTACTAGTATTAGCTAAACTTCCTTTAGTAATTGGTAAGATCTTAAGGGTCATCTTGATCTTAATAAATATCAATATTTGTACAGTATTATTGCTGAATATTACTGATTTAAAAAATATTGAACATATGTAGATGTGATTTTATTTCAGCTTAAGAAATTTACACATTTCTTTATTTTTTAGCCTGAGAATATTTTTAGAAAATAAAATTTGCCAATTTTTATGGAAAAAATCCTGCATTTTTCACTACAAAAGAGTTTTGAAAGATTTCTTTTAGCACTTGAGATCACCCACAGTTATTTGTTGGGTCATGCTGTTTAGTCCTTTGTTTTCTGTGTAGTGCTTTGTGAATTGTTGTTTGTCTTTTGGTCTTTATTTCTTTTTGGCCATGGTATTGTCTGTTTTTCTCTGACTTATAATTTTTGATTGCCCTTTTGGCATCTTCAGCCTATTTTTTTAGAAAGTTATAAATGTGGTTTCAGTTTGAAATCAAGTGCAATTTATTTTTTCTCTTAAAATATCACCTCAAATATTTAGAGTTGTAGTAAATGTACTGCAAATAATTTCTTTTGAGGCATAATTCAAATTGTTGATCTATAACATGAAGCATAAGAATGATAAGAGATGAACAGTGTAAAGAGAAGTAACTCTTGCATTTTTTCATTGGTGATCTGTTTTTATACAAACAACTCTTTAAGCATAATTTTTCATTCAGTTGAATAAAAAATAAATGGACATAGACATATTAGAGTGCAATATGTATTCTGTATAACAGTTCCTGGGTTTTTGATCATGGATAATTTTTCTTGATTAATTGATTATTGCTTGCCTAATTAATTTACTTGACTACATGATATAAGCATTGAAAAACTTACAATATTTCTTAATGTTTGGTTTCTATTTTGATGTTAAGACAGTAAACTTTTTTTATTTGACTGGCAATGCCTGAGATTATCATTATTGTTATTCGGAAGCCAAAGGGAACTATAGGTTTGCACTCTGTCTGATAAGTTTTCAGCACTTTTCCTGAAGTGTTTCTATCTTTTAGTATGACAATTGGTATATAGTCATATCATTAGAAGTTACAAATCAAGTATGACTTTCATTTCCAGTTGAGAATTTTTTTTCCAAAGTTGTGGCCTCTGGGAATCTGCACTTTTTTCTGTGATGCCTGAATCAATTGATGAGATATTTGTATACAGCCATACCATTAGAAGTTACAGACTACATGTAAATTTTCTTCCAGTACAAGTTTTTTTTTTTCTTGCCTAGACTAAGTTGCGAAGATGAGATTTAGGTATGTTGTTTCTCACGCTGTCGGTAGGAAACGTCAACAATTTGTTAAAAGCTTGTGATAAGGTCAGTTTAAGCTGAACCAATTTAAGTTATGAAAAGTCAGTGATATTTGGTATGCAGTGGTATTAGCATTGGTATATTTCATTTCCCTGTAGATTATTTGGCCCTGCACATTCAGCCATTGTTCATTGACTTTGAATGTTTTGCATATTTTACATGTTTTAAAAGTATTGCCATTTAAAATTTTTTTTTTTTTAAACAGCATTTTCATTTTACTATCAAAATTACAAACAGGCAAGACATATATCTGTGTCAACAGCTTATTATGGTAGTAATGGCTTTTTGAAATTGTAAACTTCAGGAAAATCTTAGTATTCCACACTTTTTTTTCTGTAATACTTGAAGGGATTTATTACAAGGTGTTTGGTATACAATTATATCATATGTAGCTACTGATCAAGTAGGATGACCAATTTTGCTGAAGTTTTAGCCCATGAAAATAATAAGAAAATGCTTGAAAATATGTTTGCCTGAATCAAATGGTTAGATATTTACTATACAGTCACATCAAAAGAATTTGCAGATCAGGTTGGTTTTTATATGCCGTTTACTTGACATATTATGGTATACCGTTGTCTGTCCGTCGTCAACATGTCGGACAATAACTCAAAAATGCTTTAACCAATTTTCATGAAACTTTTGTGAATTGTCTATATCTATTGGCGTAAGCTCCCTTTCAATTTTTATAATTTTCAGATTTTATGTTTCATAGTTATTGGATTTTATTTATAAATAAAGGGGGGATTTTTCCAGTTTTCCGACAAAAACTCAAAAATGCTTTAAGCAGTTTTCATGAAACTTTGTTTACTGGTTTATTAGTCCCCTACCGACGAAGTCGAAGGGGACTTTAAGTTTGCACTCTGTCTGTCTGTCCATCCGTCAGTCCGGCAAATCAGTTTTCCACACTTTTTAGCTCACCTGACCCGAAGGGTCATGTGAGCTTTTCTCATCATTTGGCGTCCGTCGTCGTCGTAGTCGTCGTTAGCTTTTTACAAAAATCTTCTCCTCTGAAACCACTGGGCCAAATTTAACCAAACTTGGCCACAATCATCATTAGGGTATCTAGTTTAAAAAATTTGTCCGATGACCCCGCCAACCAACCAAGATGGCCGCCATGGCTAAAAATAGAACATAGGGGTAAAATGTAGATTTTGGCTTATATCTCTGAAACCAAAGCATTTAGAGTAAATCTGACATGGATAAAACTGATTATCAGGTCAAGATCTATCTGCCTTGAAATTTTCAGACAAACCTGACAACCTGTTGTTGGGTTGCTGTCCCTGAATTGGTAATTTTAAGGAAATTTTGCAGTTTTTATACGACCGCAAAAAAATTTTGTGGTCGTATATTGGTATGACGTTGGCGTCGTCGTCCGGCGTCGTCGTCCGAATACACAATGGTTTTCGCACTCTAACTTTAGTTAAAGTGAATGGATCTCTATGAAATTTTACCATAAGGTTCAATACCACAATAGGAAGGTGGGGATTGATTTTGGGGGTTATGGTACCAACAGTTAAATAATTAGGGGCCAAAAAGGGGCCGAAAATAAGCATTTTTGTAACTTCCAGACATAACTTGTGTGTTATTGTATGGATCTCTTTGACATTGTACTACAAGATTCCATATCACAAAGGGTTGATGATGGGATTGATTTTGGGGTTAATTTCCTCGAAATTTTAGGAATAAGGGGCCAAAAGGGGGCAAAAAACAAGCATTTTTCTAGTTTCATGACAATAACTTGTGTGTAAGTGTATGGATCTTTCTGAAATTTTACTACAAGGTTCCATTTCGCAAAGGGAAAGCTGGAATTGAGTTTTGTGGTAATTGCCCAAAACGTTTAGTAATAAGGGGCCTAAAAAGGGGTGAAAAATAAGCATTTTTTAGTTTCTAGACAATAACTTGTGTTCAAGTGTATGGATCTCTCTAAAATTGTATTACAAGGTACCATACCACAAAGGCAAGGCTGTTATTGAGCTTGGTTTGGGGGGGGAAGGGGGGGTGATGAATCATAGGGGGGGGGGGTCAAAAAAGGGGTAATTATTTTTTTTCGTTTAAGGAATAAGGGGAAAAAAGGTTAAAAAACTAGGGTTTCCATTTTAATAGACAAATAATTGAGTAAAGAACATTATTTAAAAGCAGTGTAAGGTTGGTAATTCAAACTCATTTAAATATCTCACCTGCACTATGTTTGAATTATGTAAATTGGAAATTTGCCAATTATTTTAGTATAATAAACTTCATTGGAAATTTGCCAATATAAAATTTTGCTGATGAAGGTTTTTTGTTTACCTTTAGTCTGACTATGATGTCATTTTCTATTTTAATAGCCTTATGATGTAGTTAAATTTTTTTTAATACTTTTATGATGTATTTTAATGCGCTTTTATGGTTGCAAATTTATTGTTTTAATATAATAAACTCCATTGGAAATTTACCAATAGTTTGTTTATTTTTAGCTATGACTATGATGTCATTTTCTATTTAATTTTAAGGTTACAAATTAATTTCAGTTTTAAATATTATTGTAAAATGTTTGCCCAAAACATTTATTAATAAGTGGCCAAAAAAGGGGGCAAAAATAAGCATTTTTTTAGTTTCCAGACATTAACTTGTGTTCAAGTGTATGGATTTCTCTGAAATTGTACTTAAAGGTACCATACCACAAAGGGAAGTGGGTCAAAAAATTGGGGGAGGGGGGAATTTTTTTTCCTTTTTTTTTTCTTTAAAATTTTCCATTTTAAGTTGGTTAATTCTGATCACAAAGAGAAAGTTGGAATTGAGTTTGGGGGATAATTTCTCAAATGTTTAGGAATAAGGGGCTAAAAAAGGGGTTAAAAATAAGCATTTTTTTTTAGTTTCCAACAATTAAATGTGTTTAAGTAATTGGATCTCTGTGAAATTGTACTGCAAGGTACCATACCACAAACTGAAGGCTGGGATTGAGTTTGGGGGGGCGTGATTTGTGAAAATTTTCCACTTAAAGTTGGTTAATTATTTCTGATTTAGATATAAAAGCAAATAATAATGATGTGGTTTGATTTTATCAAAAACTTAAATTGAAGTTATGTATATTGTAAATTTAGGTTACCTTGGAATTTAAGAATTGGCTTTGGGGTAGGGTTATGGCTCAAACCTTTAAATAATAAGGGAAAAAAAGGTGAAAAAACAAGGGTTTCCAGGTTAATAGACAAATAAGTACAAAACATTATTTAAAAGCAGTGTAAGGTTGGTAATTCAAACTCATTTAAATATCTCACTTACACTGCTTTTAAATTATGTAAATTGGAAATTTGCCAATAACTTTATTGTTAATAAATGCATTGGAAATTTGCCAACAATTTTAGTATAATAAGCTTCATTGGAAATTTGCCAATATAAAATTTTGCTGATGAAGGTTTTTTGTTTACCTTTAGCCTTGACTATGAAGTCATTTTCTATTTTTATAGCCTTATGATGTAGTTGAATTATTTAATACTTTTATGATGTGTTTAAATGGGGTTTTATGGTTGCAAATTTATTGTTTTAGTTTAATAAACTCCATTTAAAATTTGGTAATAAAAAAAATTTTTGTTTATTTTTAGCTATGATTATGATGTC